GGTCTCTTTCTCGTCCCTGATGAGGGCATACGCAATCAGGAAGTTCTGGTTGCACGGCGTCATCCCAATCATCTCGACGAACGGCATCTTGTACCTGTGCAAATGTAACCAAGAAGAAAAAAAATATAAGCACATAAAACTTAACTTAATCAAACACACTATTTAAGATTCATACTAATAAAGTATTTATAAAGTAACATACCTGTTGGTTTTATACGTGGAATCTATACCGACATACCAGTGATATGTCCGGAATAGATTGATCGACGCAGGATGGGCCATGAATATATGCGTCAGCACTTTCGTGTTCGGATCGGATTCTACATAAACTGTATACTGGCTGCTCACGGCCAAATGCATAAGCTGAGTAGGAACGTCTCTACCGTCGGAATCCTCTCTCCGCAGCTTATCTCTAAAGTTATATACCTGTCACCGATTAGCGTTAATTATAATGATTATTGTAATTTAAAACAAAAATTTTATTATATTAATAAATAAAAAAGTATATTAATGCGATTAATTTGATAAAAAAATTATTAACTATCACAATAGTAATACATTACTAAATATAATAAAATTTATTAATTATTACAATAACTTTTACATATAAAAAATTACTAATTATCATAATTAACTTAAAAAATTTAATTAAAACATATATTACAAGATATAAATATATATACCTGCCGCACATGAACGTTGTCTCCCGGATTCTTTTCCTTCAGCGCGGCCATAATTTTTTTCGGGGCCACCTGAGCGTCCGTCATTTCACGAACAATTCTCTTAGATGAAGCGCTGAGACCGCTCAACTGGCTATGACCCTCAGGATACACAGCAAATGCATGGTTATGGTAGCTTTTCTCTTCATTGCTACATCTGCAGATCCTCCAGTATGGAACGCCGGACAACTTTTTTACTTTGATCTCAAAATTGCAACCGCACTTATTCGTTTTTGTCCTTCTAGAATTTCCGCCTGTGCCTCTGTACCGTTCGCCTCTATGGCACTTCAAAACTCTGACCGTTTTCTTTTTGTGGCTCGAAATAATTAATTGGAAACCATTCAGCATTGCCTGGTGTTTTGCAGCTTCAATAGCCTCCTGAGCACTACTATAGAATGAAGATGTATCGAAACGCTCACTGTAATCAACACCATCTCCTCCAAAATCTTCCCATGACTCCTGCTATATAGTACAATTTTTAGAACATGTTAAATTAAGATAATTAATTCTAGGATGTAACATAATAATTTGTAACTCGTAACATGATATTATCTAACGCTCAATTAATATAATTTTCTAGGATGTAACATAATAATTTATATAGTACAATTTTTAGAACATGTTAAATTAAGATAATTAATTCTAGGATGTAACATAATAATTTGTAACTCGTAACATGATATTATCTAACGTTCAATTAATATAATTTGTAACTCCTAACACGATCACAATAATATGTAAACGTCAATTTATAACATAATTAAAACTAATATATAATGTAATAATTTCTAAATCGTAACACGATAATACCCTATCTAAACGTCCAATTTATATTATAATCAACATGTAACATAATAATTTGTAACTCCTAACACGATAAACGTCCAATTAATAGCATAATGAAGCCTAAAATGTAACATAATAAATTTCTAACATAATAATATAGTCCAATTTATAACATAACTATTTCGAATAAATAACATAACAATTTAAAAAAAAAAAAAAAAAAAAAAAATTCCGGCCGGCCGGCCGAACCGGACGGACCGGTTCCGACCGGCCGTCGTTTCCGGCCGGCTTTCTTGCCGTCCGGCCGGCCGGTTCGGACAGCAACGGTCCGTCCGGCCGTGCTTTCCGGCCGAGTTTACATGTCGTCCGGCCGGCCGGTCCGGACGGCTTTTAGTCCGTCCGGTTCCGGCGTCCGGACGGCTTTTAGCCCGTCCGGAACCGGCGACCGTACACGTATTTTTTCGTACCTCCGAATTTGACGACATTTCACCGTACACTTTCCTCTGAGATGTTTAGAAAAAATGAGAAGGGCAAAATTGTCCAAGGGGAGCGGTGACTAGTAATATGGGGGGCGGTGAATACTAACGCCCTTTAACATTTGATACTAAAGTTAGCAAACTTTTGAGTCATGTAATTAAATATGTTCCTCGGTTTTGGAATTTTGAACCGACGAAACATACATGACCCAGGCCTCCAAATGCAATTATTTTTGGATGAAAATCAGTATAACAATTTACCACCACAAACTAAAAGCAGAATTATTAAAAATATAATTAAAAAGACTAAACATGAACATTCCTTTTTCATTCTTGCAAGAATTATGTAACATTGGTAACGTTATCCCTATCTCCTTATTGGTGCAAACTGCATCACTCCTTTACTTAAAGCATGCACCAATAATGTCACAAAGTATGCAATAAATTGAAATCCAAAGAGAATGTCATGTCAATTTGAATCCGTACGCAGCTCTATAAAAGAACATAGCAATTTGTGGCGAAGCTCTACATACCAATTATTCAATCCTTTTCCTTTTTTCCCAAATAGGAAACATCTCAATTGGTTATAAGAGAGTAAAGCATATATAGAAATAAATAAATAAATAAATAATGGAAGCTAGTTTAAGCGAAGGTGCTCAATATAATGGCAGGATCACATGGTTCGTGTTGTTGTCGTGTGTCGTTGCAGCCACCGGAGCACTAATCTTCGGCTATGTTACTGCTGTAGCGGGTACATTTACTGTTTATATTTTGACTCACTATGCTTGTATATAAAGAATAACTATAAAAATGTTCATAATAAACAAGAATATGACCATATAGAATGTTTTTCCCATGCAAGACTTCATAGAGTAACGTTAACTTCCCCACTGAAAGAAAGAAAACGGATTTTTTTTTTGGATAATAGTGCATGGTATGGTACGGTTTTAATAATAAGTCCTAATTGAGCTTAATCATCACGAGCTAGAAATATTAATATTTGTTGATATTAATGTAATGTGTGTGTGAGTTATAAGGTGGAGTGACCTCAATGGAGCCATTTCAAAAGAAATTCTACCCCGAGACTCACCGAAAGATGAGCAAGCAAGACACGCACACGAGCAACTACTGCAAATTCGACAGTCAGCTCGTCACGCTATTCACGTCATCAGTCTTCATTTCCGGCCTCGTCGCCACTTTTTTCGCCTCAAACATAACGAAAGCTTTTGGACGCCGCGCGTCTATCCTCATAGGCAGCGTCGCCTTGATGGCCGGCTCTGCTCTCGGAGGCGCCGCCGCCAATCTCTTCATGCTCATGTTTGGCCGTCTTTTGCTCGGAATCGGCGTTGGCTTCATTAACCAGGTGAGTCGATCGCCGATTGAATTTACTATTATACGTTGTCGTAAGACGTCGTGTTTATCATTTTTTTAGTGGTAATATTAGTAAAATATAGCCTTTTCATTTTAGTAATATATGAAATATATATATATATAGCTACTTTTGTTAAAGTGTGAATTAATAACTTTTCAAAAAAGAAATATGAATTAATAACCATTTTGCCATGTGAAATGACCAAAATAGTTACATCTCCACACTTTTTTCACTCAACTCCAATTCTTGAGTTTGGGAAATGATTTCCATTGCTTTCTAATCATTTTAAGTAATTAACTTCCGAGAATTTCGGAATGTTCTCTAGATCTCATAAACAATGTCTCGAATTTCTCAATTAATTTCTGTAATTTATAGAAACGAAAAAAATTATACAGTATTTTTTATTGGAAAAAACTTGAAGTAAAAAGTAATTGTGTCACGAGGACAAAATTGTCATTATTGATACTTCAACTATTTACCCACAAAACAAAGTCACCATATTTTATTTTTATTTATATGTATTATATATATTCAGTCGGTCCCAATATACCTCTCGGAAATGGCGCCCCCCAAATACAGAGGAGCCTTCAACTTCGCCTTCCAACTAAGCATCTCCGTCGGCGGCCTCACCTCCTTCCTCGTCAACTACTCCTCCCAAAAAATCCCCGGCGGCTGGGGCTGGCGCATCTCCCTCGCCGCCGCCGCCGCCCCCGCCTCTTTCCTCACCATATGCGCCCTTTTCCTCCCCGAGACCCCCAATAGCCTCATCCAGCAAGGCCTCCCGGGCGCCGAGCACATGCTCCGAAAGATCCGCGGCACCGACGACGTCAGCGCGGAGCTCCACGACCTCATCTCCGCCAGCAACGCCTCCAAAAAAATTGAGCGCCCTTTCCGAACCCTCCTCACCCGCCGATACCGTCCCCAGCTCGTCATGTCCGTCGCCATCCCCTTTTTCCAACAAGTCACGGGCATAACCGTCATTTGCTACTTCGCTCCCATGCTATTCGAGGCCACTGGATTGGGAGCCAGCGCTTCTCTCCTCTCGTCAGTCGCCCTAGGCGCCGTGGGCGTGGGGATCACTCTCTCGTCGCTTTTTTTAGTTGATCGGGTCGGCAGGCGGGCCCTTTTCCATGTGGGCGGGGCCCAAATGCTGATCCCGCAGATCGCGGTCGGGTGGATTATGTCGAATGGTGGTAACGTCGGGAGGGGTTATGGCGTGGTGGTGTTGGTATTGGTTTGCGTGTACGTGGCGGGTTTCGCGATGTCGTGGGGTCCGCTCGGGTGGCTGGTGACGAGCGAGATATTCCCGTTGGAAGTGAGGTCGGCGGCGCAAGGGGTGAATGTGGGGGTGGGGTTCGTGTCGACGTTCGTGGTGGCTCAGGCGTTTTTGGCGATGTTGTGCGGGTTGAAGCATGGGATCTTTTTCTTCTTTGCGGGGTGGGTGGGGGTGATGACGGGGTTCGTGTATATGTTCTTGCCGGAGACGAAGGATGTGCCGATAGAGAAGATGGATGGGATTTGGAGGGAGCATTGGTTTTGGAAGAGGTATGTTTGTGGGGGTGGTGGTGGTGGTGATAGTAATAAGGGTGATGGTGGTGGTAGTGTTGGGGAGGAGGATTATTGATTAATAAGGAATGGAGTATTGAAATGAAATTTCTCAATGTGGGTTTGTCTTTGTATATATTGTGTTGTTTATTAGTTTATTGTTATATATATGTATCCTTCCCATGTTGAACTTGAACTTTGTTATTTTGTACCACATTATGTGTTCTATGGTTCTAAATGGGAACTATAATTCGTGGCCTTGAAACATTATATAGTAGCATAAATATGATTTGAGGTGTGGTCACAAGTATAAAATTTGTGAAATGGGACCGGGACGCAGGAGATTTTATTTGTTTACTTTTATTTTGTTTTATTTTAGTTTTGTCTTTGTCCACCATATATATAATGTGTAGACAGGACGGTTGATGTACGAAATTTGATCAACTCTTGAATTTGTGGAATTGTTCGTATTTATTGAATTGTTGTGTAAATTGAATAAAAAGATTGAAGAAGGTGATCAATCTCTTGTTCTATTAACGAAAAAGATATTATGAGGGAGAAAAAATATAGCGGTACCGCTTCTGTTTTTTTATTGAAAGAAAAAATCCCCTCAGACCCCTTTTTCATGTCCATCATAAGGGTTTATATATTTGGTTTTAGGTGGCCCCAATATTATCTGAAGTGGGTATTTATTTTTGGGCCTTATTAATAAGAATAAGATAGAAATAAGACAATCTATCATTATATAAAAAGAATAACCTTTTTACAAATTTAGAAATTTTTTCCCGCCAAAATCATTAAATATATCCTAATATAGTAATTGTTGGATAAATCTGAATAGGCAAAAAAATCGGCTCATTTTTTTTAGTTTATCAAAACCGTTGTTTAACAATAAATATTTGTTTTTCTTTTTCCTATTTTTAGTACAGATCTATACGCTTATCTCTTCTGTTACAAAATCTCATTGCATACGATCTCACATGTTTAAAAAATCTCATACCTTATCTATACAAATTTAAAAGAATAAAATAAAATAGAAACCAATTCATAATTACTACTAGAAATCCATTATTTTTAAAAAGAAAAAATAAAATAAAATAGAAACTAATTCATAATTACTACTGGAAATCCATTATCTACTTTAAGAAGCTAATTTTCATCGGTCTAATTACAAATATTATAAGCTAACCATACAAAAAAGTATAATAATAATTTTGAAATAGTGTGCAATCAATTTTTTTTATATTCTCTTATACAAAATAATTTTACATTGTTTGACCCCGAATCTTTAATTTATAATTATTAAGTATTGTTTATCCTCCTCTTTAATTTATAATTATTTTTTTTGCTTCCTCTTTTTAAATAGGAACAATAGTAGTTTCCGCTTTCGTCATTGAGTGACTCAAACTCGAGGTCTATTTATAATATTATTAATTTAATATTATTTCCGTGCATCGCACGGGGTATACACTAGTTAACTTAATACGCATCCATGTGTAATATTTTATTGGTCGAGGCCAAATTAGGTATCAATAAGAGTCCCCCAACTTTAGAACATGTTCTTAACAGAACTGTTTTGAAGTCGCGTTTATAATCAATTTGGCGGACGTTTGCTTTATAATTTGTTTGAGCTTGAGGCTCTTTACGCTGTGATAAATGACGTATCGACGTTGCCGGGTGCTTTGGGAACCGTGGATGTTTTTTTGATCGTGTTCAGGCTTTGGCCTGACGTATTGATGTTAATTGTATTTTTTGTTCTGACGAATGAAGTAGATGGCGTGGATAGTCAGTTTTTGGAATTGCTATTTGAATGCGGTCTGAATGGCCTAGTCAGATAACTTGGTACCCGTTTTTCGCGTTTTTGTGTGTAATGTAAAACGTTTGATGGATTTGCTTTTGTAATAGTGATAATGATATGGATTCGTGTGGGAACTCGGGCCCTGGAATGGCTAACGTATTCGCGATTTTGTTGTTGTACTGAGATGGCGCGATTTTTGTTTTTATGACTGTTTTTCTCCGCAATGTGGACATGATCGAATAATTTGGTATCCGGTCTTCGGTCTTTTAGTTTTTTAAGAAATATGGTAATTCTAGCCGGTAAGGTCTTACAGTGTGTGCTCAGACACGTTCATATCTGAAGTTGTGTGTACTACCCACACCCAAAGGCAAAATAAAAAATCTCTCGTCACTCGCCCAAACTCTTCTACCGCAGATCGACCAACCAACCCTCCTCGTGCTCCTACAAAGACGTCGACCAGGGAGCTTTTATGGAAAATTATTCCGAGCTCTAATAAGAATAAGGTTTCAGAGGTCGGCGACTATTCAACAAAGAAGGAAGTTGCTTGCTAGCCGCCTTGCAGCTCCATCCAACAGCTTAAAACGTTCGCAACCTGCAAAGTTCCCAGCTCATCATGTCCGTCGCCATCCCCTTTTTTCAACAAGTCACGGGCATATATAACCGTCATTTGCTACTTCGCTCCCATGCTATTCCAGGCCACTGGATTGGGAGCCAGCGATTCTCTCCTCTCGTCAGTCGCCCTAGGCGCTGTGGGCGCGGGGATCACTCTCTCGTCGCTTTTTTTAGTTGATCGGTTCGGCAGGCGGGCCCTTTTCCACGCGGGCGGGGCCCAAATGCTTATCCCACAGATTGCGGTCGGGTGGATTATGTCGAATGGTGATGTCGGGAGGGGTTACGGTGTGGTGGTGTTGGTATTGGTTTGCTATACGTGGCGGGTTTCGCGATGTCGTGGGGCCCACTCGGGTGGCTTGTGACGAGCGAGGTTTTCCCGTTGGAGGTGAGGTCGGCGGGGCAGAGTGTGACGGTGGCGGTTAGCTTCTTCTTNGACGTTCGTGGTGGCGCAGGCATTTTTGTCGATGTTGTGCGGGTTGAAGCACGAGATCTTTTTCTTCTTTGCGGAGTTGGTGGGGGTGATGACGGTGTTCGTGTATATGTTCTTGTCGGAGACGAAGGATGTGCTGATAGAGAAGATGGATGGGATTTGGAGGGAGCATTGGTTTTGGAAGAGGTATGTTTGTGGGGGTGGTGGTGGTGGTGATGTTGATGGTGGTGGTGATAGTAATAAGGGTGATGGTGGTTGTAGTGTTGGGGAGGAGGATTATTGATTAATAAGGAGTGGAGTATTGAAATGAAATTTCTCAATGTGGGTTTGTCTTTGTATATATTGTGTTGGTTATTAGTTTATTGTTATATATATGTATCCTTCCCTGTTGAATTTGAACTTTTGTTATTTTGTACCACATTATGTGTTCTATGGTTCTAAATTGGAACTATAATTCGTGGCCTTGAAACAATATATAGTAGCATAAATATGATTTGATGTGTGGTCACTAAGTATAAAATTTGTGAAATGGGACCGGGACGCGGGAGATTTTATTTGTTTAATTTTATTTTGTTTTATTTTAGTTTTTTCTTTGTCCACCATATGTATAACTGAATTGCTAAATAATGTACCCATTTTACTAATACCGTACCCTAAAATAATAGTTTTGCCTTTTATTCTTATTTTTTTTAAAAAAATAACGTCCCACCTTCTAACCTATTTATCGGCCGAACCGAGCACCGAAAGATTCCGAAAACACCTCCAAATAATTCCGGCGAAAAAATGCTATCCAACAAGACCGGTCATGTGGCGGTTGGCCGGACTGGAGCCAACATATATATATTTTTATTTTTATTTTTTTATTTTATTTTTTTTTTTTTGAACCGGCCGAATGCTGATTGCGGCCGCAACTCGGCCAGCCGCACGCGGCCGGTAATAGAGGCCGCAACTCGCTCGGCCGCGCACGGCCGGCCCTTTTTAAAAAATAAAAATAAAAATTAAATATTTAAAAAAAATATAATTTTTTACTACTATTAATTATTAGAGAAAACCGATTAAAAATTATTAAGACAAGTTGTTACAACATATATAGCTCATTCAATGTGGGATAATTGCAAATTAAAGTTTTCACTCTCCCAACCTTTTATAGCCACTCTTGGCCTTTATTATTGTGTTTGTAATCGATGTGGGATTGTCTCAAACCTTTATAGCTACTTTTTGCATTCTTTTTTGCTTTCAAAATCAATGTGAGACTAAATGATTCATGCTTTAACACACTTTCACTATGTATGTCAAGATGAATATCACATTATCATTAATTAAACTTATTATTATCTTAAACTGATAAATAATTAAATTTAACTAAATGAACATGAAAATTGTAATATATTCTAATATATACCATAATAATTTCTAACTTCTAACATAATAGTAATAAATTCTAATTTATAACATAATCAATTCTAATCTATAATACAATAATTTCTAACCTCTAAAAAAATAATAATAAATTCTAATTGCATTTCTAACTATTTGTACATATAAATTAATTTGTATTTTTTTTATATTTTCGTGGTTTTTAATTTTTGTTAATTAAAAAATGTTGAAATATAAAAATATATTTAAATAATTTCTTATACATTATTATATGTTTTATAATAAATGAAGAAAATTAATAATTTTTTTTTGGCCGAAACGACAGATAATTTTATAAATCAAAAATGCACAAATGTGCGAATACACAGCAGCCAACGACTGAATACACAGCAGCCAACAGCTGAAAAAGTGGGAGGACAGGTCAGAAGCCTGCCTAGAATCCCGACTAGCAACGCTAGAAGAAAATACACACTCGCAACTAAACTAACCAACTAGAAACAACTACAAACAACACAAACAACTAAAAACAACTACAAGGACCCCAACAGGGTAATACCCTAGTGTCGGACCCCAACGGAGTAATCAATTTGACACTGGGCTCACAGAGACAACTGTCCAAACCTAAAACACTGATACAACACAAACACAGATACAAAAAACACAAAACAAGAGCTAGAAAACTATACTAACAACAATTAAAGCCCTTCCCCAGTAAACGAGCAGACCCAACCAACAACAAACAATCGACACAAGAACGATTCCAAGCTCGAGAAACCACTACCGAAACTGCGAGCCCGCCTATACAGTAGTCGAAACCGAGCCCCGAGCCATTTCCCGAATCGACCCACACCCAACCGAGAGAAAACCAACCAACCAACCCCACCCGTCCCTCCCGAACCCGTCTAACTCCACTAGCCGAGCTCAAGAGAATCAGGTTTCCGGACCCCATCCGTCTAACACCACTAGCCGAAAAGGGGAAGGGGATAGGTGGTACGGTTCCTCAGCCCCCGACCGCCACAACAGGAGACGTCGCAGCAGTCGAGGCCTCCCCCATCCTCAGACCCGTACACTGCCTAACTCCACCGCAGTCCTCCGGCGGCCAACAACCACCCACTGGAAGCTCCGCCGGAGATAACGGAGATGACCAACAGGAACTCCACAGCCGGCAAAGAAGAGAGAGCGAGAGGCACTTACCATCACTAATCGGGGGTCCGCCGGTGGCCGGGAGGAAACAACCCATCGCCGACTGGACTCCAACAAAGGGGACAACATCTCGAGACTCAAATTCGCCGTCGATTGGAGGGTAGCGAACGCAGCAGAACCGCAGCAAATCAGGGCGCACGACATCCAAGGCAGGACGAGCGGCCAGGGGCGACCGCTGGCCGGGCCCCGCCGTCACTGAGGAAGGCAAATCGACGGTGAATCACAGAGACGAGGCGCGGCGATTAGGGTTGAGTCGCAGAGCAGAGAAAGGGGAAAGTTTTTTTAGAATATATTAAGTTTGATTAATAATTAAAATATATTAATAATTTAAATTAATATATATTAAATTATATATATTAATATTTTCATATATATTATTATACATTCATATATATGAATATGTATAATTTAATAATATTAATATATATTTTATATAAATATATATTAATAGAATTAATATATTATATAATATATATTATATTAATATAGTTATTATAAATTATGATAGTATAAAATATAATTAATTATAATGAAAAAAGTATATTAATATGATATGGGATATTATATAGCTGAGGAATAGACCGGTTTGCATCATCGGTCGAGCAACCTCGAAGTGGAGAAAACCGGATTGGGAGAAAGATGATCGACCAAAAAGGAGGAGATCGAGCAGAATAGCAGAGCTGGTCGAGGATCGACCAAAAGGGAGGAGATCGAGCACTCAACAGGTGAAGAGCAGTCTAGGGCGTGGCTTGAACGCGAGAAGGCGCGTGGATGACGTTAGAAGATCTCAACGGCCTGCGCAGAATAATAATCTCCCTCAGCTCAGAGGGACACGTGGCGAGAATATATTGGTGCAGAGTGATAGTGGCGAAAACTACCCCTGACATCTCTGACACACGTACACTATGTGTGTACGGACGGGCAGTACGGGCAGGACAGCTCACCAAAAGCAGGGCAGTTTTTAGGGCAGGTATCTCACTCCTATATATATGGGAGTGGGTCTTTTCTTGTAGCCTACGATTTATCCATTCTTTACTTTGGAAAATTGAACAAACACATACTGACTTAAGCATCGGAGGCTCTTCACCGGAAAACCCCTCCGGTGTGAGAGTTCTGTGCAGGAACGCGGCGTTCTACCAGCGAGGATGAAGGAGGCAAGCTGATTTCAAGTCGGTTGGAGTGTTTTGCGTTACCATAATATAAATTATATTAGTATATAAAAAATTATATTATTAATTAGTGTAATTATAATAAATTATAATAGTATAACATATAATTAATTGTAATAGAAAAAAATGAAGTGGGTATTTATTTTTGGGCCTTATTAATAAGAATAAAATAGAAATAAGACAATTAACTTAATACACATCCACGTGTAATATTTTTATTGGTCGAGGCTAAATTGGGTATCAACAAGAGGCCCCCGACTTTAGAACATGTTCTGAACAGAACTGTTCTGAAGTTGCATTTATAATCAATTTGGTGGACGTTTGCTTTATAATTTGTTTGAGTTTGAGGCTTTTTACGCTGTGATAAATGACATATCGATGTTGCCGGGTGCTTTGGGACCCGTGGATGTTTTTTTGATCGTGTTCAGGCTTTGGCCTGACGTATTGATGTTAATCGTATTTTTTGTTCTGACGAATGAAGTAGATGGCGTGGATAGTCAATTTTTGGAATTGCTATATGAATGCGGTCTGAATGACCTAGTCGGGTAATTTGGTACCCGTTTTTCACGTTTTTGTGTGTAATGTGAAGCGTTTAATGGATTTGATTTTGTGGTGATAATGATATGGATTCGTGTGGGCACTCGGGCTCCTGGAATGGCTAACATATTCGCGATTTTGTTGTTGTACTGAGGTGGCGCGATTTTTCTTTTTTATGATTGTTTTTCTTCGCAATGTGGACCTAATCGAATAATTTGGTATTCGATCTTCGGTCTTTTAGTTTTCTTAAGAAATATGGTCATTCCAGCCGGTAAGGTCTTACAGTGTGTGCTCAGACACGTTCATATCTGAAGTTGTGTGTACTACCCACACCCAAAGGAAAAATAAAAAATCTCTCGTCACTCGCCCGAGTTCTTCTATTGCAGATCGACCAACCAACCCTCCTCATGCTCCTACAAAGACGTCGACCAGGGAGCTTTTATGGAAAATTATTCCGAGCTCTAATAAGAATAAGGTTTCAGAGGTCGGCGACTCTTCAACAAAGAAGGAAGTTGCTTGCCAGCCGCCTTGAAGCTCCATCCAACAACTTAAAACGTTTGCAACCTGCAAAGTTCTCGATATTCAGGCATCCTACATGTTATCGATCTTTTCTAATGGAGAAACAGATCGCTGGGACGAAGACTCCAAGATGCGGCTAAGAGTATGCGTCGGGTTGCCGAGGTACTTATCATGTCTTTCTCTCCATTATATATCGAGCTCCTTGTACTTTGCAAAATATGGATTCTTCCATTATAGTGTCTCTATTCAGCTCATGTCCGGCCTTGCTCCCATTTTCCACGAAGCTATCGATGGAGAGTCTCCTTATTCATGCAAGAACCATAAACTGAAGAAGGAACTGCAGGTTGAGGCTGCAAAAGTAGAGAAGCTCAAACGCCAGCTTGAGACAGCCCAGGGTTCTCTGAGTTAGGTCGACCAGCTCAAGGCTGAGCTGACCAGATATCTGAGGCCTACAAATATCTGGAGGCTCTTAAATCCT